TTTTTTTTTTTTTTTTTTTTTTTTTTTTTTTTTTTTTGGTAATGTTTAATAAAATCAAGATCTTGGGCCAGGGATTCGGCTCAGCGGTGCTGTCCCCTGCCTCGCAAGCGCAAGGTCCTGAGTTCGATCCCCAGTACCAAAAAAACAAAAGAATAAAGTCAAGATCTCTTACTCCCCAACACCTTTAAAGATATTGTTCCTAATTTAAGTTAACTTTAAGAAATTCGATTAAATACAGAAAAGGTGTCAGTCCGTTTTCTGCTGACTTACCTACTTTATGATGTCAAATCTGTTGTCATCTTTGTGTCTCCGTGTGTATTGTCTGTTTTTCTTTTTAACCACTTGTAGGTAGTGTGTGTGTATTGTAGGGAGGGCTGTGCATTTCAGTTGGAGGTGGTAGTGTCCCCCTCCCTGACCCACCCCGGTACTAGGGACTGAACCCAGGTGTACTCTACCACTGGGCTGCATCTCCAGTCCTCTTCACTTTTATAATTTGAGTCAGGTCTCAGTAAATTGCCCAGGCTGGGCGCAAACTTGAAATTCTCCTGCTTCAGCTTCCTCAGGCGCTGGGATTACAAATGTGTACTGCCATGCCTATCTGTTTTTTACTGTTGATGTCAAACCGTGCTAGCCAGTTAGAATTTTTTGATGTCATGGCCTATTTTGGTATTCTTCTGTATCACTTTTGCTTGGATGTTTACAATGATGTACGTTTCTTCATTCTTTCCTTATTGGGCTCTGCTGGTCTTCCTGGATTTGTGGAGCCAAGTCTGTTGGTTTGAGAATATTTGCAGGTATTATCCATTATTTCCTCTTCCTAGAACTACATTAAAACTTGAATGAGGGGCCGGGGATTTAGCTCAGTGGTTCCAGCGCCTGCCTCACAAATGCAAGGACCCAAGTACTATCCCCAGTACCAAAAAACAAAACAAAACAAAACTTGAATGAGGTATTTACCTTCGGTCATTCATATCTTTTAATTTTATTTTGATATTTTCTTTCTTTGTTTCTTATTGGTAAGTTATTTGATTTTATCTTATTTTCTGATCCCCTCCCCAGCTATGATGTCATATCTGATTTTCTTGTTTTGGTTTGGTTTTTTATTTTTTGAAACAGAACCTTTCTAAATTGGCCAGCCTGGGCCTGAACTTGGGATGCTCCTGCCTCACCCTCTGGAGTGTTGCTGTTGTTACCTTCCTGTGCTCCTGGGGATTGAACCCAGGCGTTGCTTGTCCTGCAGGACTCTAGACACAGCTATAGCCTCCAGCCCTTTTTAAGCTGGTACTGGTGGTAGGTGCCTGTAATCCCAGCCGCTTGGGAGGCTGCAACAAGAAAATCACAGATTGAAGCCAGTTTGGGCAGTTTGGTGAGACCTTGTCTCAAAATTAATAAAAGGGCCTGGGATTGTAACTCACTGGTAGAGCCCTTAATGCAGCACGCACAAGGAGGCCCTGAGTTCAGTCCCCAGTACTGCCAAATCTAACAACCACAACAATAGCAATAGTAATAATGGTTCTAGCTTCACCCCAGTTGTTGATTTCTAACATTGGGAAATGCCACTAGGTTTGAAGGACCATAGTTACAGTCCAGTGGGAGGTTCCCATGACTCTTCATTTGTCACAGTCATGGAAATGTGAATCTCTTTTGCTCTGATCCCCATTATTCTTTAGGAAAAATTTTAATAAGTTTTGAGATCACAAACTGTTTTGAGGGGAAGGTTATAGAGGCATAAGAGTACATAAAGATGAGGATATTTATTAGTAGTCCTGTTTGCTGAGAGAGTTAGGGATCCAAGAATTTTGACCTCATTTTCACTTCTCAGAGTTTCCAGGTGACTGCACTTAGAAAACCCCGAGATGAGGGGATGCCCCGCCTTGCAGCTCGCTTCTTTCTCCCTCCAGTGAGGGGTCTGAGCTGACTTGGAGACCATCTTGTTAAGATTTGATAAATGCAGTGTAACACTTTCTCTTGGGTTAAGCAGATTGTTTAAAATCGCTGCATTAATGCACTGTTTTCTTTTAGTGATCATTCAGGTTATGTCCGTCCAGTACCAGTTCCACGCAGTTTAAATAGTGATATTTCCTATTTTGGTGTTGGGGGGAAGCAAGCTGTTTTCTTTGTTGGACAATCAGCTAGGGTAAGTAAAAAGATTTCTTATAAGTCAAAGTTGATTAGAATATTTTTATGTTGAGTAGTTTAACTGTGAAGAGTTTTTAAAGTACTCCTTTTTAATGTTCAACAGATGATAAGTAAACCTGCAGATTCCCAGGATGTTCATGAGCTTATGCTTTCTAAAGAAGATTTTGAGAAGAAAGAAAAAAATAAGGAGGCGATATATAGTGGATATATTAGAAACAGAAAGGTACAATACATTTTAACTCAAAATTAAATTATTTGAACAGATGACAGGATGGAACTTTTTTCCCAGATTTGTAACTAAGACACCAGTATTGCTGTTTTAAAAAATTGGTGATATGAAATTTTCCAAATGGGTCACTGAACTTTTTCATTCTTTTCCCTTTAATCATGTGAGTAGCAAAACTGTTCATTTGTACCCTTCTTTAGACTGAAACTTTTCATACAATAGTTATATCAGCAATCTTAATAAACTTTCTGTCAGTTGATCATCAAGTTGTAATTATTTCCCCAGCACTTTGGGAGACTCAGGCAGAAGGGTCACAAGTTCAGTCCCAGCCTGGGCAACTTTAGGGACTTAGTGAGACTTTTCTCAGAAATAGAAGCGGGGTGGGAGTGTAGCTCAGCGCAAAGGCCCTGGGTTCAGTTCCCTGCTGATCTGATTCTGGGCTTACTATCTTCGTTATATATAAAATAGTCGTAGAAGGTAGAGTGCAGAGAGCATGGCTGGGCAGTGGACTTTGAGGAGATCTGAGCTCCAGGCAGATAAATGAGAGATGAGATTTCTATTGCTGGTTTGTTTTTAAATATTTTTAATATGATAGATTGTTAACACATTTGAATCTTAAAAGCGAATACATGGTATTTATTGTGTGTACCTTCAATTTTCTGTTTGAAACATTTTTTATGTTTTTTCTTTGAGACAAGGTCCCATTAGGTGGTGGTCTTGAACTTACATGTGGCCTACCTAGCCTGGCCTCAAACTTGGGATCCAAGATCTGGGATTACAGCTGTGCACCATTACACCCAGAACGATCTTTAATTTTAAACATTTAAACAATAGCTGATTGGGCAGGGGATGCAGCTCAGTGGGGCCGCTGCATGCCTCACAAGCACAAGATCCTGAGTTCGATCTCTGGTACC